TCTTTCCATGTTTTAATTTTTTTACACCTCAACAATTCATGGCTTCAGTTCTAGTTGCGCGTTGAAGTCTCCTTTTGACGGCAGTGATCTTTCGAAATTCGACCTGGATATTTTTAATTTATGCAATACTATTTTAGATTCCAGGTATCCATTGGATAATATGCAGTTTATAAATCATACATTTGATTAATTAAAAAATTACTTTAATTAATGAATTTATATAGCAAAAGGCTTGTTATAATTATTGTATGTAATTTAATTGATGGTAAAACCAATTAATGATTAAATCAGTAATTAGTTTAATGGTAAAAAACATTACTTATGTCGTTTAAAGCATTATAGGGAATGTTTTTTGGTTCTGATTTCTTTTTCTATTAGTATGTTTTTTAAAAAAAATCTTTAATATGTATTTTTTTCTCCTTTTTTTTTTGTGTATTAATATCAATTATACCCCCTTGTCGACAAAACCATATGCTAATTATAAAAATGAAGTTACACTTTTACTGAAGATCTAATAAACAATTCAATTCAATATTTCACTGGCATAATGCAATTTATTTTTGTACTAGTATCACAATTGTATTTTTACGCAATCCTCATTAATACTGCTGATGAGGCAATGCGAGGGGTATCGCACATTTGAAATAAACGTCTTGTGCTGGACATCCATTCGACGATCTATTTCGCAATACTTACAACAAAAAAAACTAGTTGCTAGTTACATTCGTCACAGTTTATCTATTCTTGGAATGACTGATAAGATCCATTTATACTTCTTTGTCAAGAAAAAAGAATCTTTAAATCAAACAGAAGTATTTAAATGAAAAATAAGTTAAACTCAGTAGATCTTTAATATTTAATTTTAAACTTCATATCCATAAACAGTAAATCGTTAACCAATAATTATGCTTAATGGCTTCATGAAATTTCGAAGTGTATTTTAATAAATTTTAATTGGGGTACAAGCCTCGACTTAATTTACATAATTTGAGTTCTACCAGTATTAACATTATGCTATATTAACGATAATAGATTCTGTCAGTGCCGGATTGAGGAATGTTCTAAGGGAGTCGCACTTATGCAAAAGGTGAATTACACACACACACACGCATATATTTCTTTATTTTTTCGGTTGTCTCTACAGACCTTGTAGATCTTTGGCCGACTGAACCAGCCTTCTTCACCTCTGCCTATCTTGGGCTACTGCTTTCTAGTTTGTGGCATGAAGCTCAGTCGTATCTTTGTTTATCCAATCTATCCATCTGTTTTTTGGCCTCCCACGTGGTCTCTTGCCTACTACTCTAGCATTCATTGTTGTGTAAAGGCGTCCTGATGGATTGCTACGAGCTACATGTCCCGCCCATCTTAACTTTCTTGCCTTCATGTCATGAGATATTGATTGGCCCGTTTCTTTCAGCAGTTATTTATTGTTCCTTCTCCTCCATGTGTCAAGGTTCTAGTCCCACATAGGTTCTGTCATCTTACCTGTTAAGAACCTTTCTTTGGAATCTCTCCATTCTGGTTTCTAGTGTGCCTGTTAGAGACTGGATTTCACAACCGTACATCATAACTGGTTTAATCACGGCGTTGTACACCCTTATTTTTATATTTCTGGAGATTTTTCTGGATTTTAGTACCCTTGAAAGGGAGAAGAAAGATCTGTTCGCACTTGCTATTCGCTGGTCTTTCTCTGTTAGTTTATCATTTATTGAGGTTATTGTGGAGCCGAGGTATTTGAATCTGTCTACATTTGGGAATGACTAACAGTCCACGCAGATCATGTAATTAGGATGGATGTTTCGGCTAGCTATCTACATTCACTTGTAGTCCGATTTGCTCTGCTTCTTTTAACAGAGTCCGAGCGAGCCTCTCAATATCCTTTTGATTGCTTCCGAGGGCCTATATATCATCCGTATATGCTAGGATTTTATGTTTCATTCCGACGTGCACCCCTCCATCTTCACGCCTTCGTCAACCTCACTAACTTCCCGAGAATACCCAGCTCAGTCATGATCTGCCAAACACAGTTTCTATTCACTGAGTCATAGGCTGCTTTGAAGTCAACGAATAAGGCGTGGATGTCTTGATCTACTTCCCATCGTTTTTTAAGTACTTGTTTTAGGATGAATATCTGATCTAGCGTAATCCTCTCTCCTCTGAATCCTGAATGATGGTCGCCTATTATGTTTTATATATAAGCATATATAATAATAATAATAATAATAATAATATATATATATATATATATATATATATATATATATATATATATATATATACACTGCCCAAAAATTAATAGGGATTTTCTATTTGATGCTTATTTTATTCGTTTTAATTAAAATATTATTTTTTTGTTCGTTAGAGATTCTCTTATTTGTTATAAATTATTAACTAAAGGATAATCAACACGATGAATACTCATATTGTAAACCAACAATTGTTTTCGACATTTCTTAATTTTAATCAAGTAATATTTTATTTAGCGAAGGAAAGACATCATATTAAACCAGAAGTTCACAATATTATCGTGAGAATGAGCAGTCAAGGACGCCGACAAGTGGATATCGCCAATGCAGTTGGCGTCTCCCAAATTGTGGTCTCCCAAGCTTTATCCAGATTCAGGAAAACCGAAAGTACCAACAGGAGACCTCTTGTTGGATCTCAGCACATTAGGGCACCAAGGGATGGCATAAATATTGGTATTAATGCTAGAAGTAACCCTTTTCATGGTGCCCAACAGAGCCTAAAAGAAGTTTTGAATGTTCTGCCAAGGCCAATACCAACACAAACCGTAACAGTTTGTGAGAAGTTAGTCTAACATCTTATGCCCCATTTAGATGACCTGCTATAACAGTGCTTCGCCAGCGACTCCGCAGATAATGGTGGAGCGATCGCCTAGATGAAGATATAAATTGGAATGCTGTTATGTTTACAGACAAGTCACGTTTCTTTATTTATAGTGATATTAGGCGCCGAAGAGAATACCGAGAACTGGGGATAGGTACACTGCCACAGTTTGCGCTTTCTTCGCTGCAGTCTAGAGGTACAATCTACCCAGGAGGATGGACTCTACTCCAAATTGTGGAAGGTAATCTTATTGTAGTTCGTTATGTTCGCGAAATTATTGAGGAGTAAATTCCTCAAACCAAAGTCATAATTGGTTTAGATAAAGATTACAGATTTCGATTTTCTCGACCTCACAGAAGAAACGATGTTCATGAATATCTTGAAAATCTGGACAATTCACAACTGCTCCGTATTGCCTCCACATCTCAATCCCATGGAGCAAACGTGGGATGCATTGCTGAGAAGGCTTTTTGATAACCATCCTTCAGTAACTGAGAGCAGTATTACCATGCTAATGGTATGAAATTCCTTGTGAAATCAGTGACAACGTTATAAAAAGTATGCTCAGTAGGTGCAGAGAGGTAGTGTGTAAAAGAGGATATTAGAAAAATTAATAAATTTTACAAAATTTTTACGATTCGCAATCATAAAAACAATTTCACATAAACCTTTAACTTTATAATTTTTTTAAAACACCTTTTATGTAATTTGCTGAGGTGATCTTATTTGTATTAATTTTCAATACATTTTATAATAAAAATTCTATGGAAAATAAATCGTACATAACAAACTAATCGCTATTCATTATATATATATATATATATATATATATATATATATATATATATATATATATATATATATATATATAAACCTAAAACACGACATTTTTCCACAAATTCGATTAAAAATAGGTTCCAAGAGATCAGAGCATTCTAGCAACTACTTTCAGCTACAATATTTACATATTTCGTTGTTTTTGAGTATAAAATATAAACAAAAAATTTTTCTTCAATACATTTCACTTTTCAATTAAAATAATAACAATAAAAATGCCAAATATATATGTTAGTAACTTTTTTCATGATCAATTTTTTTCCCATCTTCCAGGGAGTAGGTTGATAACATCTTATCAACTGTACATAACCATTAATATAGTATTTTTGTTATTATGTCAGTTATTGAATTGATTTAGCTGCAATAGTCTTTTTATTTCAAAATTTACGTTTTGTTTTATTATAGCAGATAAATACATGTTTTAAGTACACTTAGTGCAATTATTTTATTTAGATCAAAAAGGTTACTATGGCAACATATCAAAATTAAAAAAGGGAATACTACTATTTTGTCATTTGTTTAGGTGCAGTACTATTATATGGAAAGGTCAATGTAGTGTTATATAAATTCTCTACCAACCTTCATTTTCAAATTCAAATTTGATCATGATATTTTCACATTTTGGTTCATTTGTGCCAGATTGAAAATTGTAAACATAATTTAAAATTTTACATTATGTACACGGCTTCTAGAATATTTTATTTATTATTTTTGTTTTCCATTGCTATTATTTTAGTATTTTTAATATAAAAATTATGTTTGAGATCATAATTATATTTAAATAGCCCTGTTGTTTTAATTATTTATTATGAAGCTGCAATTACTGATGTATTGTTTGATTTTTATTAAGTATTTGATGATTTTTGTACAGTTAATGCCTTTCAATAATTACATAATTTAAAAAATATGTATGATTATATTAAAGAGTATATGCAGGGCATAAGATGTTATTAAGTTTTGAATGTATTTAGAATAATATTAAAGGTTAATTGTAAATCATACCTGAGGATGGCTTATTAGCTGAAACGTATTATTAAAAAACAAAATTTAATGTGGTAGTTAATATGGTTGCAGCATTATTTTAATAACTGCTATTAGAATGCTTTTTGTCCACAATAAATAATTAGTAACTATGAAATGCTTCTAAAAACAAAATAAATTACTAAAAAAAAACTAGGGGTCCACCCAAAAGTAAAGTTTTGTCTTGAAGTGGTAAGAAGTTTTTTTTTAGCCTTAAGACAATTTGTTATCACAATTTAATTGAATTATTAACTATTATATTTTTTTCAATAAGTAATTTACTCTTTGTCTGTTTAGTATCATCATGTTGCTCTGGACTCTTAGAATTGTGCTGTTCCTAAGTTTGGCTTCCATCTGTTCCGCACGTCAATTTTGTGGCTCTGACTTGGCTGATGTAATGTCCTTAGTCTGCAGTGGACGTGGCTATAATGTAGCTTTCAAGACCGAATATTCTCCAGGTAAACAAACATTGATGATATACAATATAAGAAATAGCTGATGAAATAAAAATTGTTTTATCTCAAGTAAACTATTATTTATAATTGTGCTAACAGGTTAACAATACTTTATTTATTACTTTTATATCATTGAAATTGGGTCAGTAAGTGTGCACTGGTTATTTAAAAATACTTAAATTACAAATTTATTAATATACCTTTTCATAATTACAGCTGAGAAGAGATATAAGCGTGGTATAGTTGATGAATGCTGTAGAAGGGGTTGCTCATGGAGCACTCTTGAGACTTACTGTTCTCCTGAATCCAGCGATTTGCAAATAAGGTAATCTTAATTCATAATTCTTTAAAATAATATTTATTAAAATATTTATAATCAGTCAAAGAACCGATTGAAAATATTTTTATGTTAATAATATATTAACCAATTAATAATTATGTTAGACATTTTATTACTTATACTGGAATATTTTGATTATGGTTTATTTAAAGGAATTTTAATTTATTATTAGTTCAATCTTCTAAGACAAATAATTCATTTTATTTAATTAATTATTATTGTTTTGTTTTTTTAAGCTAACAACTTTTATATAAACTATTTTAAACCAGAAGCCAATTAATGTAATTGCAGTCAAAAATATGTAATTATTCAATGGGAGGCAATTAATTTAAGGGTGGGAAAATAAGTCTCTATTTTGTAATTAGTTTCTTTTAGAATGTTAAAATACTAATAACTAACCTGTCACTGTTAATCAATTTGACATACATTTGTAGTTCATTATTAAAATTTATTAACATTTTATTTTAATTTTCATTTCACGTTGAAAGTGAAAGCAACTGCCGAATCTTGACTCTCCTAGATTCATGTCCTGCAGAGTTACACAGTTGGGTTACAATGTATCATAAGTAGACACCTAGGGTTAAAATAAAAATCTTAAAAACTAAACTTGATCATTTTTCAATTTCTAAACATGTATTTCACTCTGTAGAATGTCAGGTTGCCCACAGCTTCATAGCTGATCCCTTTGTGGCCAATTTGCTAATTCACTGACTCACTTGCATTCAAAGACAGTGAAAAATTGGTCTAGATCCCTGAATTATGGTTGTTCAGAGTCAGTAGGCATACGCGAACCAATGATTCTTTCTCTGAAACTGACCGTCCAAAGACTAAATCTTTGGGAACTAACTACATGCTGAAAAATCACATCGCAATTTCCGATTAAGATACATGATGTAGGGTAATCACTATTTATCTGTGGGTGTGAGTAGCGTCAAGTAGGCTGATGGGTTACTTACTCCTAACTTAAGCAGGGAGAGAGATTTCAGGAATTGTGGCTCTTCCTGGTGGACGATTACCCAATTTGGATGGTCACCCATCCGTGTACTTACCACGTTAGACATTGCTTAACTTTGATTACATATTTCAAGCACCTTAACCCGCTCTACCATTCTGGCTCCCTAATAATTATTAAATAAACTTAAAATTAGAACATGTAGCAATTTCAAAGGTAGCCTAATGGCTCATGTCTCTAAAAGAAATAATGAATACATAATGTTACATTTTATGTTGATAATTAATATAAGATAATAAATTGATAAAATAATAACGTTTTTATTTTGAAAATTTTAGTTCTAAAAATTTGTATAAATCTGAAACCCTATATTGAAGCCTCTCTCTCTAGACTTTTTTTAAAGACCCCTCTTCCTAGAAGTATTTTTAAGGAATTAGGACTCAGCCTTTCATTGACTCAATATGTTTGCAACAAATTATTATCAAACATCACTCAATGTTCAAAGTATGATTAAAATATACTCACCTTTATTGGAAAAACAATTTAAAAATAGAAATAGAAAAGGCATAATATGGAGTGAGGATAATTCATAAACATAATTCAATTCTACATAAATATAATCACATAAAACATAATCACTTGCTAAACTAAGCTGAAAATAAATCTAAGAAAAAAAAAGAGGAGGGGAGAGGATATTAAAGCTGGGTTGCCTTCGGGATCAAAGCAGAATTTAATTTTCCTTTTCTTCCAATATAGTGTAACTTTTTAACATCTTTTAGGGAGTGAGGAGCAATGCCAGTGCCACTTTCACAATGGGTCAGTAAAGTGAAACACTAATCTTCTCTTATTTATTCATGTGAATTTCAAGCTTAGCCATCATATTCTTTCTTTATAGCCCTGGATTTAGAGCTTCCTAAAATATTGTGCACATATTACAGCTAACTTTTCTGTTAAGAAATTGGCATTTTATGTTTTTGCATGGGTTTTTTTTTGGGGTGGGGGTGCATATAATTAAAATTGATTCTGAACATTGAATAATAAGATTTCTTCTAAAAGGATGGTCTTGAGAATGAACTATGTAACAGCTTTGAATAGTAATTCAGGTTGCAACATTTAAAATGTCAGTTCCTAAATTAATTCGATATCCAATGTATTAGTATTAGCAAACAGAAAATGGTTTATTGTTTAATGATTTTATCAAAATTCAACATTTTACTCATTCCAACCCAATGTATAATTTGAAAATCCTAAAAATTATTTCTATAGACTTGTTTCAAATTTATTTTTTATGATTTGTAATTATTTTTTTTATATTTAATTATTTTTAATATAAATAAAGATTCTTATATTTTGTTAGGAAAAACATCAAGTAATTTGTACCTAATTGTTGAACTGTTTACTTTTTATATATATATATATATATATATATATATATATATATATATAATATTTATATGATATGTATGACTTTTGAGTAGGCACTTTACACTCATCTATTCCTTACAATTTATAACTTCTTTGCTATAATTCATAACTTCATTAAATGGTGTTACCATCTACAAAGATCCTAATATATCTCATTCAACCTCAACCATTCAGTTAGCTGTACCTTGACTATCATCCACCCTCTATTTACTACTTATTCCCAATTAGATTTTGTAGTTGATATTATTTGTATTCCTCACAGCCTCTTATTTTGATAGGATTGATAAAGGATATTTTGCTCTCTTCTACCAGTGAGCATGTTTATATTTCCAGGAGTGCCTTTGATTTTTATCACAATTACTTTACAAATCATATAGTTCCCATTTTCTTGGTAAAATGTGGAATTCTAAATTGACTGAACCAAATATTATAAAATACTTCTTTTTTATAACTATTATTTTAGTTTTCATGACATAATTTCATTAATTAAGCTTTTATTAAGAGATAATTTTTGTTAACTAGTTTACACTCTATCAGAATGGTAAAGATTTTACATATTAAATTTATTGAACTATACAAGAAACATATTTACCTATTCTCGTTATATTTATAGTAATTTCACTACTAAATATATAACTCTAAATAACCAGATTAAATGAGAACGTTGCCAAATAAAAATTTAGTCAGTTCTCTTATTGTTCAAAAACAAAAGCTTTTCATTATCAACCATTACATTTATTTATTGAATCAAAATAATTCCTATAAGAAGCTTGATTTACTTTCAATATATTTAGATCGGAATACCCTATCTAATGCATATATTAAAGTTATGTTGAGTATTTAGACATTAGTTACTTAAGTTGAGAAAAAATATCTTTACAAACTTTGATTTGGCACAATTTGCTGGATAAATTGTCATATGTATAATTATTGGAAAATTATATTAATATGTAAAACATCAATAAATATATATAATTATATACATATACATATTTAAGTTATTCCTGAAAAATATTTATAATATTAAAAATTTCATTGTGTGAAATTAATCTTTTTTTTTCAGGAAAAGAAGTGACTTCACAAATAAATGGCAGCCTGAGGCCACTGACCAGGAAGAGAAGAAACCGGATAAATTTAAATATGATACCACTGAGACGAAAATTCCACAAGGGATTGAAAATCAACAGAAGTGGAGATTCAATATTTTAGTAGAAAATACCAAACCTGGATACCCTAGCCGTTACTATTCTCTTTTGGAAGGATTGAACAGGTAAAATATCTGTAGAATGAAACAAAATATTTATTCTTGTATTACCATTTTTTAATTTATTCAGCATTTTAGTTGTTTTTTTTACTTTTTAAGCTATAATATCAAATATTATATAAATATATATATATATATATATATATATACACACACACACACACACACACACACACACACACACACACACACACACACACACACACACACACACACACACACACACACACACACACACACACATACACACACACAGATATATTTTCTTCATATAATTAGGGATAATTTATTTCCAATTTATATATTACATATATATTCCATGCCTTTAAAAGCCATACTATACATATTGTGTAAGTTCCTGAACTCAGCACTGAGATCACCGGCATCGAAACTGGCACTAAAGTGGGCTAAATGAGGCCATCAATGAGTTCAGCACTGAGTTTAGGAACTTTCCCACTGTTTTTTTTAATATACATAAGATTAAATGAAGCAGGAAATTTGTTACATGTTAAATTTAACTTACTATAAAAAAATGGAAAAAAAGATAATACCAATTAAAAATTCATTTTAAAAAAAATTATAATTACAAGCACAAGAGGTTTATATTGTCCTATGGTTGGTCAATTGCTCAACATCAATTTGTTTTATAAATTTTGGTAAGCCTGGCTCAAATACAAAGAAAGATAGTTTATCAAGAGATTGTTACTTGGGCCATGGCCTATTATAATTTGACACACTACATGCAGAACATGTAGCATTTTTGTTATTTCAATATAGTTAAACTCTTTTGCAATATTAGATCAAATAATTAAATTAGTAAAATTAAATACAAAAAAAGAAAGAAGATAATGTGAAAATGACCACAATCAAGAAAATTACTCTAAAAGAAAAGTAAAAGACAGTATAATATTAACGAGAAAATATATATATATATATTACTTTATTCTTTGTTTAACTGAAACTCCGAACCAAATCCTCTTCAATCCATATAATTTGACTATTCTTAAAAATCTAAAATAATATCCAAGAATAATTTAATTCTATATAATTCAGTTCTAAGGCCAATATAAACTTAAACCTGCCCCATATGGATCTTAATTAATTCACATATGTATATCATTTTTTTCAGCTTGATAAACCAAAAATACTAAAAATCTTTTTAAACATTGTATTCTACTGAAAATAGAGTGGTGGATGAAAGTTTGGGGATGCATTGTGCTTAATTTTTTTTATCTTTGTAAATTCTTCTGATCTTATTTATTTTCCTCTAAGGCCCTAAATCTCACCTGTTGTTGCCTGTATATATATTTGAAAGATAAATGTTCAATAATAAATAAAAAGATTATTATTTTTAAAATATGACAATTAGGCTTAGTATAATTTTATATGTATGTTTGTAAATATATATATATATATATATATATATATATATGATCAGCTTTGCATGCTTTTGTCTTTTACTATTCTTTTGTAGTAATTTTCTTGGTTGTGATAATTTTCATCTTTCTTTTTTCTATTTTATTTTATTAATTTAATTATTTGATCAAACAATATTGCAAAAGAGTTTAACTATATTAAGTATAGTAAAAATGCAACTTTGTACAACTTTTAGTATACCTAATGCAATTAGACATGGTCCAAACAACATTCTCTTAATAAACTCTCTTTTTTGTGTTTACAAAAAATAATAATATATATACGTATATTTATATATTAACTTTTGGTAAAATTAATTTAATTTTTATCTTTAAAAATTAATTTAGTTTTTCAAATGTTAAATATAGCATGTATATGAAAAACTAAATAACATTTACTCTCCCATACAATTATCTGTTATTATTATGACATTTCGGGACCCACTTTAGAATAAAATAGAATAGAAAAGAAACAATATTCTGGGACAAAGTCCCCTCAGAATAACAATGAGAAACAAATAAATAAATACATATCTAGCCAAAAATTAACTTAATACAAATTCTAACAATATATACAGTAATAATTAATAATGTGTAAACAACCAAAAAAATAAATAAATAAAATCCTTTCAAGAATAGTTATAGTTATAATTGTATAGTTATAGTTGTAATGTGAGAAATGAAAAAGTAATATATATATATATATAAATAAAGATTTTTCTTTATTTATATATATATATATATATATATATATATATATATATATTATATATATATATATATATATATATATATATATATATATATATAAATAAAGAAAAATCAATACCTGGAGAAAAGAAAACATATTTTTGGTGTTAAAAACATAAACAATGGGCTGACTTAATAAAAATTCTAATATATACAGTAATTTAAAAAACAATCTGTAAATACTAAAAAAATAAAAATAGTAATGAAATGGTTATAATGTGAGTAAAGAGAACAAAAATATATATATTGTAAATATAAAAAAAAAAAAAAAAAAAACCTGTACCACTACAACCCATGAAGAGTGTTGGGTTCAGTACTCTTTAGGAAAAGTACAGTTACAAGGCCAACGGCTGTTCAGGGAGAGGATCGGTCCAGGATCATGCACAACCGCCAGGTTTTCTCCCTTAATCAATTATTTAATTAAGGGTACCCACTTTTTAGAGACTGGGTGGGCCCTAAGAGTGTCTCCCTATCCCAGGGTCGCCCCACGGCCAAGGAAACAGAATAAGTAATTTTTCTGCCATTAGCCGGGATTCCAACCTGAGGCCTCGAGCATTGGAAGCTTAGTGCCCTACCACTGAGCGAGCCTGCTCCCTATTGTATATATACATAAATCAAAAATAAAACCTGGCTAAATGAAAAAATAACAAGTCAGTAAAGAATAAGCATAGATTTTTAATGTTAACACATAGTAGGCACTATTGTCTACAGAATTCCTATCATCATCTAATTCCAGAATTCCAATATAAGAACTTGTTTATTTAATTCATTATACTGTTTGACAGTATACTGTCTTTATTTTGTCATTTTAATTGAGTGACTTTAAATTTTTATAATAATTCACTTATGTTAAAGTTCAATTCATTTTTAAGTGTCCATATCATCTGTTTGGGATGTAAGGAGGTATTGGAAAAGGCTCGTTATTTATTAAAAGACTTGTCATAAAGTAGATGATGGAAAGATGAGTAATGGTCTGAAGATGGGATAATAAAGTGGATCCCTAAACGTCATAACAATAAAAAGATAATTTTTTGGAAGAATAACTGTTATTTAGTTATTCATATACCTCATATAAATAAACATCTCCCTTAGGACTTATGAAAAAATCAAATATATCCTCTTTTTAATCTAGCCTCTCTACCGTATCACAGTGTTAGGGGCCTGCTTGTAGAGCATGACCCAAATATCCCTTTCCTGAACCAATCCTCTTTTCTGCCTCCATTTTATGTCCCTCTTCTTATAGACGTAGTATCCTTTATTATGTGTGTGTGTATATATATATATATATATATATATATATATATATATATATATATATATATATATATATATATTATATATATATATATATATATATATATATATATATAATATATGTAATATATATTATAATGACATTTTATTATAATAATAATTTTTCTTGCTAAAAATATATTATTAAAAATAATTTATATTATTAATCAAAAGTTATACTTCTTCTGTACACAATATAGCTTGACTTTTTGTAATTTTCTTTTTCATTTATTGAAATGAAAATATTTTTATTATCCTGGGACTGTTGTCACTTTAGAACAAAGTATAAATACTGAGAAAATGCCTGTGTGGCCATACATTAAATTAAATATTTACAAAACAATATCTAATTAAAAATAAAAATATAGGAAGAAAAAAGATCAAAACAAAAATATACAAATATTGATATATGTAGAATAAACAAAGGAAAATAAAATAACATAAGTAAACATTATGGTTTTTGGAGGATCTTAAGAAGTTCTTTTAGTACATTTTGTGATCTGTTGGATTGATAAAGGAGTAGTTGCTTAAATAGGAGAGATTTGAATGAGGAAACTGATTGTGCATGTTGGATATTGGAAGGGATAGAATTCCAAAAGGAGACGGCTTGAATTACAAAGGATTTGTCAAACGCAGCAGTTCGGTGAGGAGGATAGAAGTATGGGATCTGGTGGAATGGAATTGAATCGAGGATTTGAATTGTAGGCTCTGAAGAATATAGGAGGGCCGCTGACTTCTAATGGCCTGGTATAAGAAAGGTAGCAAGGAAGTACTGATGGTGGTAGGATGGATAGAGCCACTTCAACTCAGTGTAATACTCGGTAATATACACATCTCTTGAGATCCCGAAGACAAAATGTGTCGAGCAATTTATTAGGCATCTAAGTTTCGCTTCGAGTTCTCCCGAGAGTCCACCATACACCACAAAACCATAGTCAAAGTGAGGGAAAACAAGAGAGAAAACCAGGAGTTGATGGGTTTTGTATGGAATGAGATAGCATTGACAGTTGAACTGTTTTAGGGTAGGAATCGTACGATGGAAAATTTGGGAGATGTGTGATTTCCAGGAGAGGGTTTGATCAAAAATAACACCAAGGGTTTTAACAGATGTCTGGAACGAAATAGGTGAGTTATTTAGGAGAAGATTGGGAGGTACAGGATTGGATTTTATGAGCTAAGTGAAATGAAGATTTCAGGGCATATTCACAATTGAGTGCAATGGTAAACCTGACTCAAGTGTGGACACGTTTTGACTTGCTTTTCTTGTCCCTTCCAGTAAATCCCCTACATTATTTTATTGAATTTAAAGCATTTATTATCAATGCATTTATGGGTTTATGTATTATCCGGGTTGGTAATAGTTATGGCATGTATGGTAATCATTCTTCAAAAATGCTTGTGAAGTACCAAGGTTTTTATTCAAAATCTGGATGATTTGCAGAATTAAATTAAAAGTGACAGGTGCTATTTGCCATATTAGAAAAAATGACCTTTGATTGCTCTTGAAAGAATGAACAATGCCAAGAGAGGCATTTTTGGCAATGAAGTAGTCTTCATCTGACAATTGAACGATGATGACCTTATCACAATTGCTCCAAACAACACATGAACCAACTAAGGCTGCAAAAATATATTATCCTAAGAAAAAGACCTACTATATATAACTCAACCTTTTCTGATTCTTTCGTACAATCGTGGAATGGGTGGATTTGACTTTATAGTATCCCAGAATAAAAAAAAAATAGGTGGTGAAATTTTGAATTCCAGAAAGCATAAATGTTGGACTTTCTCTGAGTTTTGCCACTAATTGAAGGGAGCCTACCTTTGAATCACTCCTCTTGAAGTCTCAGGTAGGCTAATGTATATTGTTTCGTCAATTCACCTCAAAGTTGGTGGTCATTGTGGTTAAAAGACTAGACTTAGGTTTTTTTAATGCAAAAATAAAATGTACTTCAATAGTTTATCGTCTAATTACGGAATTCCAATATTAGAATTTGTTTATTAAATTCATTATACTGTTTAACAATATATTTTTTTATTTTATCATCTTAATTGAGTGACTTTCACTGGTTTTTATTTTACAAAAACCAGCAATCAGTATATTTTATTTGAAAAGTTAGAAAACTAAAAATGTGAAACATTAAAATTTGATTCAGATACAAATTTGGGCAGTAAATAATACCAGAAATGTAAGTTGCTTATCACTTATCAAATTTTATTTAACTGTTTCTTATTTATATAACTGTTAATCCATCTTTTTAAGGCATTTAAAATTAGAGTGATTCTACAATTTATCATGATTATGATTTATTACAGTGGATCATTGGTCAACCTCAAAAAATAAATATATTACAAATGAATTTTTTTTATTAATAAAAAAGAAATATTGTATATTTCTTTAATTAATGTTAACAGCAAAATTAAATGATTAGTATTATGAAAGAGTTTCTAAAATAAAGACAAAATAAAAAAACATTCTACTTTTTTATTTTTTATTAATTTTTAAAATATTGGTTTACTTATAAGTCCAATATTGAAGAAATTTTATGTATATATTATATAATCATATAATTATATTATATATTATATAATCATGTAATAATAATGATATAAATCTATTTCCTCTTCCCAGTCTATTTCCAAAAAATGATCATATTCTTATTTCCAGACAAGTGCAAATTCCTCGTGGCCCATCTGTTGTAAATAAAGTCAAAAGGAATGATATTGAGGAAGGAAAGGGCTCCAGAATTCAAAAAAATTCTAATGGTCTTCCAGATCCATTAAATTGGCGCAATTTCCTGATGGAGGGCATGAAATTTAAACATGAAAAAGCTGAAGAAGAAAAGAACCAGGAAAACCCGTCAACAGCCTCTGTTCCTATTCGTCATCGCCATAGAAAATCCGACTTAAGTCGAAAAATTATGAAGGTAACATTATAAAATAAATTCAATAACCAACATACTGCTTTTATACTCTTAAATTAGGATTTTAAATAATATCATATATATATAAATAAATATATATATATATATATATATATATATATATATATATATTAGTATATAAACGCTCCTTCTTTGGTGTAACCATAATAGAAAAATATTTTAAAAATTAATATATATATTACTTAATTTAGTCACTTGAGAATTTATAATTTGGAGAATTAAAACTTTATATAGTACAGGTTTATGCTGTGCATGTTTCATTTTACAAGTAAGAAGAAGCTAGAGAAATTACAAAGGCTCTAAATAAAGCTACATCCATAATCTAAAAAATAGCTGCTTAAAGTAATGTAGAAGTAAAATTAAAAAGGAATATCATGAACAATGGCACTGAAAAAATGTACTCATTTGCAAACAAAATGAACCATTGCATAAACTGTTTATGTTGAGAGGAATCAAAATTTCCCCAATTTGACACCTGTTGATTGTTTACACTTGCAATAGGCTAATTTCAGTACAGAATTTTCTTTTCACAAATGCTGGATGAACTTCACACAGTACTCATAGAGGAATGGTAAATGATCTCTCAAGATAGCATCCAAATGCTAATAAGAAGTATGCCTCATTATCACCATCATGAATGGCTCTACAACTCCTGCAGAGTTAAGGCCTCGCGCAATTTCAACTGCCAGTCCTCTCCAAGTAATGCCGCTGCCTTCCAGTTGTAGACACCAAGGATACTTCGGGTGTCGGCTTCCACTCCATCAGCCCATCTGAGTCTCGGTCTGCTTACCCGCCTTGTGGCGAAGATCCACTTATCTATCAACTTCCTTAGTACATATTGTTCAGACATACGGAGGATGTGTCCTGCCCATCTCAACCTGCCAATTTTCATTAGCCTCACAACATCGGCTTCTTTATATGGCTGCATCAGCTCATTGTTGGATCGCATTCGTTGCTCCTGATTAATATTTATTATTGGGCCGAATATTCTTCTTAGGACACGACGTTCAAATCGAAGGAGAGCTGTTTCTTGGGCTCTTGTCATTGTCCAGCACTCAGACCCATATGTTAGTACTGGTCTGATCAGGGTTTTGTACAGGAGCAGCTTGGTTTTATGAGAGATCACTCTACTTTTGTGATGTCCCTGGAGACAAAAATAAGCTCTATTTGCGGCCATGATGCGCCTCTGTATTTCAGAATTCATGTCGTTATTTACATTCACTGCCAAGGTATATAAATTCCGAGACATCTTCAAAAGTCATCCCTCCGATTTCTACATTTGCCTCTCTGTGTCCTCCATCCTTTGGGTTGGTCCGCATAAACTTTGTTTTCTTCTCATTGACCTTCGAGCCAATTCTCGCTGCTGCTCCTTGTAGTGCTAAGAAAGCATCTTTTATAGCTGTCCGTGTTCTTCCAACCCCTGCAATATTATCGGCAAACTCCAGTAATTGCACTGAATGATTAAAGACCGTTCCACCAATCTGAATTTGGGATCTTCTAATGGCACATTCAAGGGCAATGTTACATAGGAGACACGCTAAGCAATCTCCTTGGTGCAGTCCTTTCTGCCTCATTGTCTTCTGGCAGTAATTAATGCTAGAGATGGACCAACATAGTACTAAAAAAAAAAATTATTAAAGTTTTTCAAAATTTTAAATTTACCGATTAATTTATAAATCCCGAAAAACCAACAGTTTTATTTTAGCAAATTTTCTTGATTTATTACTTATAAACATGTAAAATTAAATTTCCTTTTCAAAATTAAAATCATTAAATAAAAATTAAATATTTTTTCATTCTATTTTGAATGAACCACTTAACTTACAAATGAGTATATGTGCAGATGGTAGCAATAAAAATAACTAAAAGTTAATATTTCAGCATTTAAAATAATAGAAAAAAAAGTTAACGAATTGCAACATTGCAACCTCACTGAAAATCCACTAGATTCACACTCATGTAAAACAAAATCATAAATTTACTTTTTTTCATTCACTAACCAACAAAACATTCGTAACAATTGAATAAACTAGTATAAATATCCTTATATCAAAGTCAATGAAGGACTCAGTTAAAATATAATGGGTGAAGGTACATGCAGGCACAAAATTAAATAAAAGAACTAACATTTTATCTTAGAAGGAAGTGAGGAGTGAGCTCATGCCCACATAATGAAACAATTCCATGTCCTATGTTAAGCAACTGGTAGCTAACACTAAGTGGACCATATTTATTCAATAACCCAACATATATGAAGTACTATCTCAAACATTTTAACATCACAAAAACTGATGACAGGGGGAAACACAAAATCAGATATACTCTGTTCACATATATTCATTACAAAAGACAGAGATATGAACTGAAAAATTAAATTTTACTATAATTTAGAACCTGGCTTAAGATGGAACACATGCTTTTTACCAAATATTTAAGTAAGTCTGGTTGGGTTGATCAGTCAAAATAAAAGTGACAAAAATAAATAATAATATTTATTTTTTATTTTGACTGATCACCCCAACCATCCTTCTCTTCATTATTCACTACAGTCAACCATCAACCAACAATTAATTTAAGTAAGTCACTTTACTTTGCTTCTGGAACTTAACTATAATTATTCTTTATTATAATTATTCCTTCATTAAAAAAAAAATGGTTTATTAATTATAGAACGTTATTTTATTCTGTGCACTGTACTTATTTGAAGTACTAATTTCATTTGATTTATGGTGTTACATCTATTATACATTTAGGTATACTTAACTTTTATACTCACTACTATAATTTCTATATAAATTAGTTATATATTAAAGTATTATATAATAATGTTTTTCATTTGTGTTATTTTTAAATTTTAAATATTTATATCATTATAAAGTGGTATGTTATTTCTGTTATCATATACTGTGTCTTTTATTCTACAGGGTGTTTCAGGGTTAAGTAGCCAAACTGCAAAAATGAACTAAGGACCTCAAAACATGAAAAACATTTGCTCTGAAAGTATGTCCGCAAACGCTTTGTTTAGGAGATATTCACACATAAATATTTTCGTTGTTATGAATTATTTACATTATATGAAATAAATAAAACCTATTTATTTGTTCTAACTACTTTATTAATTAAATGTAAACATTAACATTCGTAATAAATGTTGTTCAAAGTATAGGTATGTCCCCAAACGCTTTGTTTAGGAGATGGGTTAGGTAAAATACTAATATGACATTTTATCCATAACTGTATAAAAAAATATTGGCTCATAAGTATTAATATTATTTGGAATTAGCATTGAGAACTCTTAATAACATTTATTAGTTTCTAAGAGGCTTTCACAGACTACTCATCATTATGCCTTCCAATTGCACAAATACATCTCACACAAATGGTGAATATGCTGATATGGTGTTTGTATAGGGTTTTGCAATGCTAATGCTAATGCTGCCCATCGTAAATATGCCAGGCAATTTCCGAATAGAAGATTACAATGGCTAAAAGTTAATTATCCCAATCAATGGATTGGCCATGAAGAACTAGTGGCTTGGCCTTCAGGCTCTCCAGACCGACACAACTGGATTTTTTTGTTTGGGGTGAGATTAAACAAAAAGTCTATGCAAGTCCAGTCAATGACCTAAATACCTTATGAAGAAGGATAATTGAATCTTGTGAAACAATAACACATATCCAGTGCCGTTCTGCCACTGCTGCTGTAGAAGAAAGATGCCGAGCCTATTTTAATGGTCCAGGAAATCACTTTAAACAACATTTAATATCAATTTAATGTTTGTGTTTAATTAATAAAGTAGTTGGAACAGATAAATAAATTTTATTTACCTAATATAACGAAAATAATTCATAACAAGGAAAATCATTAGGTGAGAATATCTCCTATAAAAAGCATTTCCAGACATAGGAATTTTTTTCTTGTTTTGAGGTCCTTAATTCATATTTTCAGTTTGGCCACTTAACCCTGAAACAACCTGTATATGATATTATTTTACTTTACATATTTTATTATTGATTTCTAATGTTTTTTTTTTGCATTAATCTTAATAGTTTAATATATAAAAATAAATCATAAACATCTTGCCTGTGAGGATATGAAATGTAAAAGAAAAGGTTCTTTTATAGTGTTGGCATAAAAAGTATATGAAGAATATATATAAATAATAAGAATATATATATTGATCTATATATAACCATTATATAATGTTGTATGTCTATTACCTAAAAATCAATAATTTTTTACATGATTTTGTTTTTTTATTTAAAGGATAATGGCCTGAATACATCTCAAATTGGAACTGTCCCACCATACTTTCAAGGCCGCACTTTAGTTCTTCCTCCTTCAAGAAAACTATAAATTAGACTTTATTCTATTTTTTTTGTTAAATGTTTGAACAAAATTATAAGAACCTTCTATAATTATAAGAACTTTCTGTTGGTATTGTTTTAGTTTATTTATAAATTTAATAGGAAAAATATATGTATATTAGGAGAAATTTATCCTATCATTCATAGTTTTCATAGAAAACTAAGAAAATTTGTTTCAACAGTCAATTAAATTAATACTAGATCAAATAGATTTTTCCTATTAATTTTTTATATGGATAATTTTTTTAGTTTATACAAATGGTAAGTGTAATATTTTATCATTGGTGTAACTTGATCATGAAATAAAGTATAGTTAAGACCATCCCCTTTTATCCCACTTTAATTTGAAATATTAATGAACAAGAATATTTTTATTTTTAAAATTATGTTATTAGGATTAAAATCCCCATAATCACTTGTATTAATAGCAATAAGGTTGGAATGTATAATAGTGTATAGAATCATCAAAATGTTTTATCAATATCTTTAATTTGTTAATTCTATTTCTGACTACTTAAGATTTTTCTTCAATATTATATTGTAATTATTTCACACATATTATTTTCTTTATGTATGTAAATTGTTTTAATGAAATGAGTTTTTGAGCACAAATACACAAAAAAAAAGTAAAAATAATCATAATAGTAAAATAAAAAATCTAAAAAGGAAATAGTATCCTGTACCAATAGTAACACAATGAGGTAATACAGCCAGGATCATCCTCAACCTCCAGGTTTTTCTCTTTAGCAATTAAAGGTCCAGATATCCATTTACAAAAGCTTTATATGTCCCAGAAGGATCTCCCAACCCCAGAATTGAATTATGGCTAACAGTTCAGAAAAACAAATTTTATGTTATAGCCATGGTTGAATCTGGGCTCAGGAGGTGGGTTATCAAAGCCTTAATCATAGCTGGGCTCAGAAGGTGGGTTTTCAAAGCCTTAATCCACAGAACCATCTCCACTCCCTAAACTGGACAACCCACTTGTGCACAAATGAAATCAATTATGTAATATTGTATTTTTTTAAATTTATGGCATTAGTATATAATGATTATTGTGGTTCTGATTCAGATAAATTAACCCATCATGATCAGGTGTAACTTGAGTAAAAGTATTTTCTTTAAAGTGTACTGTTAATCTGTAAAGGGACACCACAGGTATAGAACAATTCACTGATTTTTTTCCTTGGGTTATTTATATATTTTTTTATTATGGTTTGTTATTGTTGGAAAAATACTTATGACAAAAAAATTTAACAAAAATAAGAAGGCGAGAACCACCAACAAAATTTTTTAGAAATACTTACTATTAAAAATTCAATGAATCAGTTTCAATCATAGATATTTCCTTTTCCTAATGTGCTGCCAAAGGAGATAGTATCTGGACTTTAAGACCACAAAATGAAATCAAGAATATGATTTCCATCTTTCTATTCTCAATGTTTTGGTTGTCCTACATAATATAGTATTGCTGGAAACAAGAATATATAAGATATTGGCAAGGGGGGATGAAAACATTAGAAAATTACATCTAAAACTATACTAGTCAGATTACGAATGGAAGATTCTTTTATGATTTGTCCTATGATTGATCAATTATCTTTCAAAAATTATGTAATGACATTTATAAAAATGTTCCTAGATATTGACAAAACATATTGACTTTCATTTTTTTTAGTCAATTTTTTGTTCTGTACTGCCTGGTTCATTTGTAACATTTATTTTATTTATTATTTATGTAGTAAATTGATAAAAAGAAAATCAATTTGTGTGTAGTAACTAAACTTTCATAAAATCAAGATTTAGAAGAATTGAAGACAATACCATCTTTTTTACCTGAGAACTTATTGACTGGTCAGTCCTCTCTTCGTGGTTGGTTTCAAGTTTTCAACTTTGCTTTTTGACCTGCTTGATCAAGGTAAACCTGTTTGAACTAATTATATTTGAAATATTAAATTGAGGATGCGCTCTTGACTAGGTTCACAATGTCAGTTAAATGGAAGGTAAGATTATTATGTTTTTTAAAAAATCAATGCCCTGAAACTACCCCTGTTTGAATGATGTTTCGTTAGAGTTTTTAAAGTATGGTTCACCAGTCAAAAGCTTGTTTTTTTATAGAAAATAAATGCTAGTTAACTACATTTGATTTATTGATAACAATGCTTGCTTGCACAAAAATATAAAAAAAAGAAGGTTAAATTCCTATTATTATGTTTTTTCAAAAACGAGTAAAGTATTCTATAAGTAATAAATTTGGATGGTTATAGTCACAAACAAAATTTTAAAAATATTTTTTTTTTGTTTTGTTTTTTAATTATGGATTACATCAGCTGCAAAAATAGGAAATTTTCCTCAAGATGTGTACTTCTGCTATTTAGAAATGCTCACTATTTAGAAATCAGTTCATGGATCATTACAAGTATTCATAAATCTAAAATATAGGTGATCAATATTTATTTTTTATAATACAGGTACTCTTCCATCAGTGTATCTCCCATAATAGTGACAATAACACAACCCTCTTACTTAGATCACTGGTCACTAGAGAATGTTACAAATGCAATTTGTAAACTTAGTTTTGAGGCCATAATAGGCGAGTGCATTTGGGCCGTTGGCTTGAATCCTCTCTGTGTCAAATAATATTTAATTCATGGAGATCTCATTGACATTCTATGTTTAGGCCAATCACTAGTTTACCATCAGAAGGTCAGTAAAGAGAATCAATAGGTCTACTTACAAGTGGCAGTAATAGTAATGTAATAGGTTGTTATATGTGAGTTTTGAGATAGTCATGTTTTTATAATTTGACCACTTAGTAAAGCCATCATCACTCCTCCACTGCTCCAATGCTCTCCTGTTCCTACACTCTTCGTTCAGCCTTCAGTAGCAAGCCAAGGTATACTATAAATGGAATTAAACTAAACTATTTGGAAAGAAACTATTAATTTTGTATTATTTTTTGCTATATTTCATATATGGGTAGGATTTAAATATCAAGTAAGGGAACAGAAAATTTATTCAGATTACTTTATTAACAATCAAATATAATAATAATTCAATTATAAAATTATTGTGATTGACTATTTATTTTTTAAAAATAAATTTATTTATTTTTGTCCAGAAAATTTCAAAAAATTTATAGTTTGCGACTCTTCTCCAAATAGAATTCCAAAAAGTTGTTTTTGATCCCTCTCTTCTATTATTTGTCATTTTTGTTGTTTAATAGATTTTAATTTATATTTAATGGCTAATCAGTAGTTAGCAACTGTGAACTGATTCTCAGCTGTAAGCCAACATGATCTTTTTAGGAGATGTACTATTGGAAGATTATCTCAAAAACTTTACTTGTTTGCACATTTTAGTTTAAATTAAAATTTGTTTTTAATTTCTGTTGATATATTTTCTGTACAAACATGGAAATTATAAAAATATTCTTGTTATTTTAAAATTTAATAAGGCTCAATTGTTATTCTTTTATCAGAGCTATATCATTTTGTTTATTGTAAAACATCAATCATTCAAATAAAACAATTTTCTTCAACAAAAAATAAGAAAACTTTTTTTTTAATCGTATACATAAATAAAAAGATCAGTTTAGTATATTTACTCATGTTATAGTGAGGAAAAGTGCTATTATTGTAGAAGTTTTGAAAAAGCACACAAGCCACAATTTGTGTACATTAGTGGGATAAAATTATACAATAATTTTTTAACACATAAAATTTAAAATTATGATGCAATATTTAGAGCTATGCTGAAAAATCATTAACAACTGATGAACAATCAATCTTAAACAAATTTAAAATTATCATGATCATAATTAACAAATTGTACTTACAAAGTTATTTCCTACATTTCAGCAGATCATTCTAAAATATTTGTATCTTAGCTACAATAAAAATAACTTAACCCCTCAAAAAATTCAGGGATGATTAATTTATATGAATTTAATTTAATATCCATACATTTTAGTTTAGTTTAATTTTAAACTATAATAATTTTTTTATGAGGCATGATTTTGTCCAATGTTTCATAAATAATGAAAGTAGCAAATTTTATTAAAATAATTTGTTTGAATCTTATTAATGTATTATTTGTTAATTAAATATTAAGTGTTAGTGAGGTGGTCCCAAAGTTCATTATGGTCCTGTAAAACCGTTCTGTTATTTTGAAATGTAGGTAGTACTTTTAAAAAGCTCCTATGAAGATGAATAAAATAATATCATTTCTACTTAAAAAAAACTATATAGACCATAACATCTTATATATTTTTATATTGATATGAATATTGTTGTCATTTTTAATTCATAAAAATATTTGTAAGCATTATTATTTTATTATATGTCTTAATGTATAATAGATAAAAGTGTGTGTCAGTGTGATTGGTGTATTTTAATGGAATGAATATATGTTTAATTAAGATATATATGTTACAAATATTTTTACATCTTTTGTTATAAAATGATGTAGTAATAAAAAATAAAAACAAAAAAAAATTAAACTTCCTATGATGTGCCAATTTTTATATTGCTTGACATAAACAAATTGCATTTTAACAATTGAATAAAAAAGAAAAAATGAAACATTCTATAGAATATGATTGATCAAATTAATAAAACAAACATTTTATGTAAATAATTCTAAATTCTAAGCAGGAATCATTTCTTGATGGGAATTCGATTTTTCTTAGGTTGAATTTACATTTGAAAAAAAGCTAATCATAACAAACTATTAGTAATCATGATCATTATAAAATTGTATACACAATAAAATATTTTTGTACTTAGTGAACCGAGGGATGAACCTGTGATATGAACATAAAATATTTTGATAGTTTAATTTAAATCAAAAGTTGTATGCAGCTTACATATAAAAATGTGTAAATAAACTTTTAACTAGAGTAAATCTAGTTCCTATGTAAATACATATTGTTTATATTTATGGGTAATTTTATCAAAAATGCAGCTTTTTTAATTTATATTCCAGATTTATTTAGTTTCAAATAATACAATCAATTGTCCATTTTTAATTTCTTTTTCCATTGCTATTAATATGTCATTAAATATATATATATATATATATATATATATATATATATATATATATATATATATTAAATATTATGTAGTTTGATATACTTTTTTTAATCAATTTCTGTTTTCTCTTTACATTTTCATTTTAAGATTAAGTTTAACTGCATAATCCACTCTAAAGTTGTTTTCCTTTTGTTCTTAATTATAATGCTCTCAAACATTTATAATAATGAAGAATATACACATATAACCTGTTTCTAGACATTTTTTTTCGTGTCTTTTCATTATTGCTTTTTTAATTATATTATTAACACATGTTCATATTATAATGCCAATAGTCAATCAAATTTCTAAAAATCAGTTGTCAAATTAGAAAATTTTGTTACAGTTTATCAGCATTAAAAATTAAGTCCAATAAAATTAAATAAGTTTCACTTAAGATAAAATTTATATAGAACACTAATATTAATATATGTTTTTAGGTTTTTTTAAATTTTTAGTTTACAAAAATTTGGTTAATATATTTTATAGAAAGTATCATTTTTGAAGCTGTGTTTTTAATACAATTACCCTAATTTTTTTAATTGTATATTTCTGTTTTGTATAGAAATCAATAAAAATACAGTATTTTTTGATTTTTTTAAATTTAATACATAAAGAATATTTTAAAATTATTTCTAAATCTAAGTTAATGAATGTGATATTTATTGATTATATTAGTATATGTGATAAAAAGAAAAATATATTGTAACAAGTAAAAATATAGTTTTATTGTAGTAAAATAATAAATGATTGTTATATTGATTTGTTAGCTTCTTCTAATTGAAATAAATTTCAATTAACTAAAATTTAAAACTTAAAATTGTATCATTCAGAAAAAAATATATATTTTTGACAAGATGAAGGTATTTAATTTCCCAGTTAAGAACAATTATAAATTAACATTAATTAAAATAAATAGTTGTTATCAAATTGTATTTCTTAAGTGGAAATGAAGTTTGGCGTCATAATTGCTTAATGTCGTTCTTATTTAAATTTAAAATAAAATATTTCTTAAAACATTTATGTGAGAGTTTGTAATTATTGAAACCTTTTCCAGAATTCATTTAAATGTTTTTTTGGTACTTATTTCCATTCATATCGAGTGCATCTGGTTTGCATTGCAGGTAAATTTAATGCACATCAATGATTCTTTTGAAAATAATCATAATTGAATTCTCACTTTATTTGTTAAAGGAGATTATAATATTAAAAGACCATTCACTGTGATTGAATAGATTGTAATAAATTTAAACAATAAGAAAACTAGTATTTTGAATCTAGTTTTTAAAATAACATGCAATATTGTATTATATTTGTCATATAGTGTATTGATATTAGAATACGAAATAAACTTTCCAAATTAAAATGTTTGTTGAATCACTTGAATGTTTATTGTAATATTTAGAATCACAAAAATTGTAATGATAAATTTGTGGATAAAATAGCTAGTTTTGGTTTAAGATCTCTTTCTAATTGTTTTTTAATATTATTTATTTTAGAAAAAAGGAAAAATAAAAGTACAATGAATAAACTCATATGTTTCCAATCAATCCAGAAATTATCTTTGAATTATAAAAGAAATTGACTTTAAGAATCATTTAGTTAAATAATTGAAACAATTGAGTTCTTTACCTATGATGCAGGAAACATTCTTCGTATTAGATTGGCATACTTTCCAAATAAGACACTGTATCATCTAAGGGTATGTTTATAATGCTTTCTTCACTACTTGCAGCCTTGAAACATTCAGCAAAAATCAATAAAATCTAATATTTTCATAAATTATAATAAAATATACTTATTCAGAACACTTTTAAATAATTATTATAAAAAATGATTATTCTATAGCTATTATAGAATTGAAGACTCTTTTTCTATATCCCAAATATGTGTTACACCTTAAGAAACAGAAGCTTGTCAATTTTAATACATTTAATTATTGTTCATAGATTTAGTGGACAATTATAAGTTTATAAAAGGTCTAGACATTTAAAGTTTCTGTATTTTTGTCATTTAATATTTAACACACCCAATTATAGTTTATATTTTGGGGCAATACTTTCTATCTTCAGAACCATATTATTCTTATTTCCATAACATTCAAAGATATTTTTAATATATTACATCCATGATTATTCTAGCCATTACATCTATAATTTATTATATTATTAAAATACATCTATAGTTCTAGTTAGCACCCCTTGGTCGTTCTATAAATGGAATGAAGATTCTTTAAAACAAATGATGAATGATTTTAAAGTTGGTAAATGAATGTGTATATATATATTGCAACATCTTTCTAATATTTTACAAATAATAATATAACCTTGGAAGATCACTTTATACCATTGGTATACTTCCAAAAGAAATAAGATGTTATTAAAAAATAAACAAAATTATAAGAGTATTAATATATTTAATTGAAATTTATAATTATTTTATCTCAGTTCAAAACACTAGACAAACCATTATTTCGGTTAAACTACTATTTAAATGAAATATTATTTCAGACACACTATTATTATTTACACTATTTATATTAAAATTAAACACTGATTTTAAAATAAAGTCAAGTATGGATTGGCAAGCTAACCTTTTTTCTATAGATACTGTATTTCCTTTGTTGCACTAAATTCATTTGTCTTCTAACATTTTCCTATGTTCTGCCAAACACATCTTCCAAAAGGGTGACACTTTTTTTCTACTCAACTCAAGCTCCTTGGGAGATCCTCTCTCTTTTGATTCCAAATAACCAGTCTCTCTGCCAAACAGAAACTTTCAAGTTGGTAATACTACTACTGGGTTTTACCCACTGGAGCCAGTATTTTCCTTTTTGGGAAAACTACAGAGCTGCTATTTTCTTTTTCCTGAACTAGTAGAACTAGATTAGCTTGCCTTTTAACTGTTACATTAATTTATTAAACTATTTTTAACAACTTTCAATTAAGGTGTTTATATATATATATATATATATATATAAGGTTAAAAATACCTGTTACTAAATTTCAAACTCAGACAAGTAAATAAGTTTTATGCACTATCTAATATCACTCAAGAATCTCCACATGAGCTTGGAGTCAGCAGAAATAACCAAAAGCATTCTGGGTTTCAATATGGCAGACCATTTTGAAAGGTGTTGGGTTGCATGGAACTCTTGATTCAATGTAAACAGGACACCTTTAATAGTCACCTTGATTGACATTAAGGTCTAGAGAAAGTAAGACACCATACTAAATTAAACCCTAATGAAGAGTTGTACATTTCAAAATTATCAACCTCTTGGGTTATTAATTATATGTGGTTTAATGGGGGAACCTGATATTGCATTTTATCTTAACTAATTTGAACTAAATTAATTAATTACAGCTGAGTTAATTTGAACATAATTAACTAGTCTATTCTGCAATTTAACTAAAAGAACTTAACTGTACAATAAACAGAAATACATCAAACTATAACAGATATTATTAAAAAATATTATTATAGGATTTTAGAAATTTTAAATTAGAAAAACAAAATATAATCTAAAACTAAATTTTGCAATTAATATGATATTATTGTTAAACTTAATTTGTAACATTTTAAATTTAAAATGTTTTATTTTTGAAAATTGAATCTTTCTGAAAATAATTAGATTATTTTTAGGCATTTTTAAAGTCAATTAATTGAGAAATTAAGGTGTTTAGTTCCAAAACCAGTCAATTCCATTTTCAAATTATTTGTTGTTAAATTGACATTTTTATTACTAGATTATATGCCAGTGAAACGATTCTTTCAAAAAGTAGTAAAATTAAATGTGAAAGCAATTACTCCATCTCCTCAGTAACCAAAACTGTAAAATAAAAAAAATAAATAAAAAATGGCAAATGAACTTGGCTGGTTTTGCAATTGAACAACTAAAATGACCTTAATATCTTTTTTATAATAATTATTTAGAAGAGCACAACATTTTATTAATTTAGTTAGAATCAGTTTTCAAGAGAATGTACAGTACAGAAGTAGTTAGATTATTAATTAGAGAGCCGAACATATTGAATTAACTACTTATAACTAATTAACTGAATAAAAAAAATAAACATTAATTTAACATAAGATTTACAAGAAAACAAAATAATAACAAATAAGCTATTTACAATGTGTATACATCAAATCATATTAAAATTTTAATACTAACTAATATTTTTTTATTTTTAAATTAAGGGTAGACAATATAGTTCTACCACTTCCTTCTCTCCATAGGATTATCAATTAAAAAGGATTTTATTTTGTTTAAAATATTGTTTAAATAAATAAACGTGGGTATTTTTTTATTTAAGTATTAAACAGCATAATATTTAAATAAAAAATGTGGAAATAGCTACTTTTCAAAAGACCAAAAAAGCACTTCTTGTTTTATTTTAATCTTAAGTATTTTAATTTTAAATTGTGGATTTGTGTTCCTCTGATTTTATTTTGAAAAAGTATTTATAGTAAATTAATAAAAGTTATTGATGAAACAAAATTGTCAGGAATTTCATTCATGATAATATTTATTGGCTTAGCCAGCGTTTTGACCCAAATATATGGGTCATCATCAGGGCTATTGTTTGGATGTCGAAACAAGAACCCAACCCAAGAAGAACCATCTTGTCTCGATCTGAACAACCCCTAACCCACATAATTAAGTCGAAATGTTGGCTAAGCCAATAAATATTATCATGATAGAAAATCCTAATCATTTTGTTTCATCCTAATAAACTTTATGAATTCCAGAAATGTGATTTTAAACATTTGTTACAAAAACATGCTCGTAAAGATATATCCATTAGAATTCCTCTATTTTTACTTTCTACTATTATATAACAATAAAAATAATCATCAAACAGATCAATCCAACATAATAAAATATAATGCTGACATTCTAACACCATGGGACACAAGTTTTCCTCTCAAAAAAGAAATATTTCATAGCTGGCAATCCAAGTGGAATGAGAGCCCATCAAGCAAATTAAAAGATATTTAAAAAAAAAAAGTGAAGCCATGGTCAACATCAATCTGTCCTATCTGTATGGAAGAGATTGTCTTAACCAAACTGAGAATAGGTCTTACCAATCCGCTCATTCCTATCTCGTTAGCAATCAGATGCCAACACTGTAATAATAATTCACTTACGCTCAGCCACAGTTTACAAGAATGTTCTTTTTACATCTCAAATCTAACCGGTTCAGGACTTATACCTCCAATATCAAACATTCTAAAAACTGAAGAAGACTCAATGAAGTTAGTGTTACAGTTCCTGAATTTAAACAATTTGATAAATAAAATCTAAAAGGTTTTAAAATTTTAATTAAGGGATAAACTTAATTAATTTGCAACGTATGTGAACTTGAAGTTTAATGCCTTCAAGCCCCAACAATTGTTGAATAGCTTAAATTGAGTATTAGTAAAGTGTGTTAAATTTCATTATTATGTGGCACCAACCAAAAATGTTATTTTGAAATTATATTGGCTTTTATTGGAATTATATTACATATGATATTATACTTGTGATGTTTGAAGTGATATGCAAAAATTTTTTTTTTATGTAAGATAAAAAAAGTGTTACTATTAAATATATATATCCTAATTAAAATTATTTTTGCCTGTTATAATAACAAGAATAATATGCTTCTGAAGAGAGGAATATTGCACTAAAAGGTAAATAAAATATGATTGGATGTGATAATGAATAAAGGAAGGTAACAAAAAAGTTTTAGTTTTTTAGGCTAGAACTTTTTTAATACATTTAGTTTCTTACATTCTAAGATTTAATTTGGCCAAAAAAATAAAAATAGAACTTTTGAGATTTACTGTAATAAGATGTTTCAAACTTTAACTAATGAACAAATAATATTATGCAATAAAAAGAAGTTAGGCAATAAAAAACTAGGAAAAGTAGTAAACATAACAAAAAAATATTATTTAATTATTGATGCTATCATCATACATTTATTTTCAACAGCCCCATGCTTCGTCTTTCATTCGCTTACTAGTGGGTAAAAATCTTAAGTAGATAGCAACATGCCAGTTTCTCAGAATCTGGTTTGTTTATGGAGTTAGTAGTCTTGTTTTGTGTTTACATATGAACTACTAAAGATTGTATCATTTATATACGAGTTATAAAGTAAATTATACTTAACATTTACAGCATTTATCTTAGTGTTTTATGACCATTATAACTCAGATAAGTAACAAATAATCTATTAAATACTGTTGTTCTTTGTAATCATAAAACAAATCTATATTGTAGTTTATTGTTAAAGAGTACTGATTAATGACTTAAGTTGAAGAGGATATATACATATAAGAGCATTTATAGCCAGGATCACTCTAGACCAACAGTTCTTCATCCTAACTTTTTGATGGATCAGGTCCTCGCTTGATAAAGGATGGATTTTCTCTAGGATGGTGTTCAAACCCAGAATCAATACACAGTTAATTAATATAACTAGAATGTAAAGAATGTTGAAATCCTGTATTGGACCTGAACCTAGAAATCAAGAGTTCTGATGCTTGCCCACTGGATCATCTCCCTTCTTCTTCTTCTGAGCCAAAATGTTTAGCAAAACATTTAATAAAGCATATTACACTAAATTTTGTCTGCTGACAGTATTTCAACGCTGCTTCACTATTATCATATTGTTTTAAGTCCTATATCTAAAAGATTAAATTTACTCTCATGCTAAAACAACATAGAATTTTGTTTTTCAGCTCATGAAAAACATTTTTCTGAATTAAATGAAAAGTAATACCAAGACCCTCTAAGTAATAGTAAAATATCAAGATGTGACAATAAAGTGTTTCCAACAATGGCTGATAAATAATTTGAAATTCTGATTAGTAAGCACTAGTAATCACATGATGGACAAGATGTGCTAAACATGTTTTATTATTAGTGTTTTTATTTCAAAATAATATTAATAATAAAATACCCAGTTTCCAGATATTTTTTATGTATTAATGAAATCCTATTTTGTGTCAAATGAACCTATGGTACACAAGTTGACGAGTAAGGTTGGTTCGGTACAGAATTATATGACTAAATAACATTGCTACTATACGGAAGTAGTTTGTAGATTCCATCTGTGAAGGATTTTTTATTTCTGGCAAGATATTATCCAAATAATGTTTAATTTTAAAAGGCTGATGGTTTTATTCATTATTGTAAATTGGATATTTGTTTAAAGCCCTTTTCCTGAGTAATATGAACTATAATTATAATTATGTAAAAGATTTTATTAAAGAGTATGAACAGGTTCTACTTACCGGTAGCCCATAATGTTTTAGGATATCCATTTTACACAGAGGACATGATCTCCTTTCAGTTAACCAAGGGTGTAAACAACTTTTATGAAATATGTGGCTGAAATACAATCACAGAAATAAATATTTGTCATACTTTCTTATGTATGATCAATGGTTGACATTAAGATATAAAGCAATATGGTAAATTTAGAAAAATTCAAGCACTAGTACTCTCCCTGACCCTATATTATATATTCCTTTTTATTTTAAACAATTCAAAGGTTATTACTTTTCAAGTTATCAATTTCGAATTTTTCAAAAGAGCATGTGACCTTAATAAATTATGGTAATGAAACTTTTAAAAGAAAATAGTGAAAAAAAAATGGGATTGATCTTAAATGTTTTGTATTAATTCTAAAATGAATATTACAACATTCTAATGAAGTCATATGGGTGATTCGTCTAACAACTCTCAATAAATGAAAGAATTCTAAACTGTTTCTAATTTTTCTTCAGTAACTAAACACACATCCTACAGAAGTTGTCTTCACAAAATTATATTACATTAAATTATACACTTGAACTTGTTAAAAATTGCTTAAATTAATAAACTCAAAAGCTACTTTGAGAAACCAAATTGTTTGAATTTTTTTTAAAACAATCTCATTGTTTTATTGTTATTCATTGTTAGAGTTATTCATTGTCTATCAAAAATAACTCAAAGAAGATAGGGTAAAAAATATATCCTATGCATTTTAGGTATAGTATAGAATCATAGTACAATTTAGTGATAAAAGAAATTTTGAAAATGAAATTATAAAATTATCGATTATTAAATCGTTATAATTTTTTTTTTTTTGAAAAGAAGTTTTTTGTCACTTTAAAGATGAAAATACATTGTTGTTGCTGCAAAACAATATTTACTTTTGAACTGTTTATAATATTAACTATTTTGGCAGAGGCACCAAACTCCAAAACACACCAACCAATGATTTTTTTTTTGTTTCTATACAACTTTTTTAAATTCTATCTCAGTACGTGGGTGGAAAATATAAATATTCGTAAATAAAAAAGCATTAAAAATAAATTAAGCTGAAGGAACAGGTTTACACCTAAATAATAAAAATAATTAAACAAAAAAAACTACTAAAATATTTATTGGGACATCTGTATGGAAAAGAATAACCATTAACTCTGATAATTTTCTGAGTTGGGTTCAGGTTTAGATGATTTCTCCTTTTCATGTGTGTCTAAAGGGAAATAGTTTTTAACAGATCTTTGCCTATCTTGAATAGTAGCACAGGCGGATCTATGGGAGGAGGGAGGTAGGGGGAGGGAGCTTTTGGGCTGAAGCCCCCCAAAATGATAAAATATAACCATGTCTTATGAAAAAAAGTATTAAAAAATTATCTCTAAAAGTATTATTATGGATGATAAATAGTCAGGACGCAGTCATTATACAATTTTTTTTATACCTGCCAACGTTTAAAAGTATTATTACTCGTGTAATTGCATTTAATAGAATTCAAGAATCATTAATATACCATTTCATATAGTTTCTTTCTTTTTCTTCAAAAGTAATTATCATTATATATATATATAAAAAAAATTTTTTGGGCTAAAGCCCTTCCTAAAATTAAATCCTGGATCCATTAGTGGATAGTAGGTTTAAAATACAAAATTCTACATGATTATTTTTGCTATTTCTCACTAAAACCATCAGTAAGGAATTTATTAAAATTTCGAAATACAAAAATATTAGAGAAAAGCATATTAAAGCCACAGACGGGTTTAGATTATGGTTTCAAAATTTTTTCATTCCAGCCTTGAGAAACTTCTAAAGTATATTATATATTGGTAAATAATGAGATTTCCGAGAAAGAAAGAATATTCTAATTATAAATCAACAGTATATTTAAAAGCTGATACTAATTTAAATGTTCCTTCTATAACAAGTATTATTTCAAAGTAAATGAAACTTGTAACTACCGAAATACCTCATATATTTATATGTTTACATTTACATTAGGATCAGAAAAAGGATTTTCACCAGGGGATACGAGTTTATTTTTGCCATCCCTTCTTTCATCCCTCCTTCAATATTTATATATGTGTGTGTGGGTGTATGTATATATGCATAGTAAATAACACAAATGCAACCGATGTAGTACATTGGGGCACAGTGCCTTAGGTGGGCATAATGCAACAACAAACGGACATACAGGAAAATTTTTCAATCAAATGCAAAAAAATTAAAAAGGAATGAAGGATTGTATATTTATAGTTAGTGAATGTCTTAATCAGGATTGGTGTCATGATTTAATTTAAAAAGATCTTTTCAAATAATTATAATACAAGTTATCAATTATCATACAAATTTATCACAGCTGAACCTACTAACCTCAATTAACCTCACAAGCAATTCACCTCAAAATGTTATGCTGACTAAATCGCCGAAATAAAACCTATGGATATCCCTGATTAATATTATGTTCTCCTCAAGGTGAATGCCATCTTTCAAGCACAAATATTAAGGGAAATTTCCAATGTGTTTTGTGATATTCTGTAAAATTATGTACATATATAAAATATCATATTTTAAACTTTATAATTATATTACGAGTATGTGTCGATTATCCTGTAGCAAGGTGAAATGAATATAACTTGTGTAATTCTCATTCTAGATATTTTATATGATTGGGAAGTTGGTTGGGGGTTTCAGTCAGAGAGAACACACAAATAAAGATAAATTTTTTTTATTTTATAGTTTGCAGACTTTTTGGGCCTAAGTTGTAGACCTTCATCATCACTGAGAAAAGATAAGATAACAACCAAAATCATTGTAAAAGGATATGAGAGCAAAATATATGTTATTTTATTCTATAAATATATAGTTTTTACAGTAACAAATCAATTTTAAGAAGTGAATAATAATTTAAATATTTGAGTATTATGTGTAATGTTAAGGAATAAAAATATACATAAGCTATAATGAAAAATAATAAAGTAAAAGGGAACTAAGTAAAAGTTATAAAGTAATGAAATAAAAAGAATAATAAACAATTAATTGATGAAGAAATAAAATCTAATATTAAATATTGTAGATACATCAGAGAAATAAGTCTCTCTAGTATATAAAAAGGTTTTTTAGTGACCGTGTCATATTTTATTTTATCATATACAAAGCAGGACGGACCGTAACAAAGACACCAGCAGTACAGACTGTTGTAAAAACAGCACAATTCTTATTGCCGTGATAATTTCTCTCTTATCATGGTTAAAAATTAGCAAAAAGAGTAACTATAGTTATATAATAATATAAATTGGCAATAAGGTGCAATATATAATATAGATTTTTAATGAAATTAAAATTTTTTTCGACTATGGTTTCATTCCGTTCATTATATATTGGTAAGAAATGATACAATCTGAACTACATAATACATATAGATTACAGTTATAATATTTGAACAATGAGTGGTGCAATTAAATGAACAGTTGTATAATTTGTAAAATGGAGATTGGTCTACCTTTAACGGGACAGGGGGTACCCCCTAATAAATAATTTTATGTACTACTACTACATTATTTATTTTATGTACTACATAATTCTCTGGTATATATCTGCATTAGTTAATATTTGATTTATTTCTCCACTATTTAATTATTTATTACTCTGTTTATTTCATTACCATGTTACTGTTACATATTTACCTTTCACTTTATTATTTTTTATTTTTCAGTATACCATTTGTATATTTTCATACCTTAACATTACATATAATACTCATATATTTTAATTTTTATTAACTTCTTAAAATGTATTTATTTGCATAAAAAATATATATTTATAGCATAAAATAACACATATTTTATTCTCATAGCCTTTTACAATAATGTTTTGATAATTTTGATTTTATCTTTTCTTTTCTCAGCCCTAATGAAGGCCTACAACATATGCCAAAATGTCTGCACAACATAAAATATCAATATATAATATAAGAATATAAAATAAAAATCTTTTATTTTTATTTGTTTGTTCTCTCCTACTGCAACCCCCAATCAACTTCCTAAACATATTGTCTACAGTTGACAATTTTTTCACCATTAGTTATTTTATAATTCTATAAAAAGAATATTATGTAAAATCTCTTTCAAACAAAAATTTGATGTACAATTAAACATATCTACTTCATAAACACAATTTTTCTCAATAATTGTGCTCTGTTAAGTATGTTTAGAAGGGAATTCAAAAATATTTGTGAAGTTAAGTTCTCAGGGGCAGGGATAAAATAGGTATCTTCAAGAAGGAGGGGGATAAGGGGTATACAAGAAAACACCAGTTTGAAAAATTATGTTCATTACCTGCATGGAAGTGATGATATTATTTCAAATAGTTTATAATTTTCAAAACAAACTGCACAGGTGTTATAGTCTTCAATCACCTGAAATAAATTTCAATTATTTAAAAATGAAAAATTAATTGTTGGTAGTTTTTGTGAAAACTACCAACAATATGGCACTGTACAGGGTGTTTCAATTCTTAATGGCCAAACTGGTGGGTGATTCTAGACAAAATTTCCAACAAAAAAAATCATTTGATGCATGGGCCGATTCCGAACGGAAAAGGAGATAAGACCAATTTTATGTGGTCACGTTTTTTATTGAATAAGAGGGAATTGCTCAAAAAACTGTTCAAGATAATGAATTTCTAAGTACTTCATCGTAAAATAAACAAAATATTTTTGAGAAAACAGTGATTAAACTAAAACATCCTGCAAGGTCAAGATCACATTGAGATGCTATAAAGGTTTTAAGATTGGAAAAGGATTGCGACATGGTGACCCACTGCCAGTTTTGCTCTTTGATCTTGTATTGGAATCTGCCATTCGCAAAATAAGAACAAATGCGGGTGGTACTGCCTTCAATATTTTTCTTTTGCGGATGATGTAGTGATCTCAGCGAGAACACTGGTGCAGCACAACTGCACTGGTCAAGCCTTATCTGGTGCAGTAGAAGACTTTCTGGGAAACGCAAGGAAACTCGAGCTTGAAATGAATGTTCAGAAGACAACGTATATGCAGACGCAAAAAGGTGCGATGAGGAACAGAAAATTCCTCTGGGTGAGTACAGAATACAATGTCCACAATTCAGGTATCTCGGTAGCTTGATAACCACGGATAATTTGACCGAAGCCGATATAAAAGCTAAAATCGCTGCTGGGAACCACTGCCTATGGGGTTTGTAGAAGGCTCTTAAGTTCAAGAAAGGCAAAGCTCTTGATCTATAAGACAATAGTAAAGCCGACTGTCACCTATGGAAGCGAATCATGGACCTTAACCTTAAATTTAATCATTGTTTTCTCAAAAATATATTGTTTACTTTACGATGGTGCTCTTAGAATTTTATTATCTTGAACAGTTTTTGAGCATCCCCTCTTATTCAATAAAAAATATGACCACACAAAATTGGTCTTATCTCCTTTTCCGTTCGAAATCGGGCCATGCATCAAATGAACTTTTTGGTTGAAAATTTTGTCTATAATCACCCTCCTCCTCTCAGAGTTTACCATTAAGAAATTAAGAACTGAGACACCCTGTATACATATAATGGTAATATATAATTATAGTTTATATATATATTCTTTTATATGATTTTGACAACTGAAAAAACTTACTTTTTCACTGGAATCCATCAAAGCTCTAGATGGGATTTTTTCAATTGTGGTTTCAATGGCGCATTCTTCCGATGTCTGCAACTTTATTAAAATAATCGTAGATAACCAAAATATTAAATAAAATATCATTCAAATCTATTGTTTAGTAGTAAAAAAGTCATTCATTATGCATCAGAAATTAAAATCATTCATTATGAAATTATCATATATTAACTTAATCATTTTCCTTCACTCTTCATTACCTTCTATTTTTTCATGTTAGATATTAATATTTCTAAAAACTTTAGTTTCTAACGCGATTTATATTTCTTTTGTATTACTATTATTTCCAGAAATTCGTTTTCAAACCAGGGAAACATTTTGTTCTCATTACTCCTTTAGTTAATCATCAAATATCAAATTAATCAACGAACGAATATGCTGCATTAGGATGAGAGGAAAATTCAATAATATATCCCTGATCAGCGCACACGCTCCGACAGAAGATAAAGATGAAGAAGAAAAAGATTGGTTTTATGGAGAAGCAGCATATGATGACCTATCCAAGTATGATGCAAAAATTTTTCTGGGTTATTTCAATGCCGAAATAGGAAAGGAAAGTGTTTTTATTCCTACTATTGGAAAATATAGCAAGCATGAAATAACAAGCGAAAATGGAATCAGACTGATTGATTTTACAACAGCTAGGGGACTAATAAAAGCCAGAATTACAGCTGGCAATAAGTGTTTTTTTTTTTTTTTTTTTTTTTTTGCCCTGGCAAAAATACTGAAATCCAAGGAACTGAGCTAGAATACAAAAGTAACAATTTATAAAACCATTATAAGGCCAGTAGTTACCTACAGGTGTGAAACGTGGGTTCTGACACAGGAAAGTGAGAGATCCCTGATAATATGGGAGAGAAAAGTCCTTAGGAAAATATACGGTCCGAAGAAAATAGTAATGGTGGCGAATACGGAAAAATGACGAGCTCTTTGAGCTGTTTAAAAATGATGATATTGTAGCCACTGTCAAAAGGAGCCGGCTCAGATGGCTAGGCCATGTAGAGAGAATGGAGGAGAAGAGGTTGCCTAGAAAACTTCTCTATAACCGCCCAGGAGGAGCACGTCTTAGGGGAAGACCCCAGCAGCGGTGGATCAACGATGTGGAGGAGGACCTCAGCCGCATGGGTATCAGAAGATGGAGAAGAATAGCTGCCGATAGGGAAGCCTGGCGGAAGCTTGTTTCTGACGCCCTGGTCCATTAAGGACTGTAGAGCAAATTAATAATAATAATTATCAAATCCTTTGACAAATTATGTTTATCTACTTTTTTCTTGCTAGTTACAATGTGAAATGTTTTTATTTCAAATAAACAAAATTATGGTACATTAGAGGAAGCTATTTCGAAAATTCGGCATTTAAGCCCTGTTAGACTCTATTCCAGTGAGACCCATGTGTGAATCACTAAGCTGACCTTGAAATAAAGAATACATATAAAAAATGCGTTTCATACCTACCATTTAGTAAAGAATATTTTATTATATGTAAAATATACTTTGATGTAATGAATTTACTCGATATCGTTTTCCAGGAAATTTTAAAAATGTTTAAAATCGGTGATACAAGTACCTCTTCCGCTAAGTAGATTTAAAAAAAAATGCTGCTGTAACATTCCGGGCATGTTCCTATGTTAAATACATTGTTTCAGTTTTGTACAACTTTTCGTTAATGAGCTGGGCTGTTTACACACACACGGGGATTGTTTACACAATTTAACGGGGATTGACTATTCCAGTCAATGATTATAGACGGAAGTGGCAGGGACACAATTTTTGAGATTGGGAAATTGTTAAGACCAGTAAGGAGGTAAACATACTAAAAGTCCCCACTCTTAGGTGGTGGAGGCAGGTGTGGGGGAGAAGGAGCGCCTAGAAGGTAATTTTTGAGGGTTTTCGCTTATATGAGGGAAACTATCCATCACATCGACAAAATTAAAGCTGATAAAATTTGCAATATGATTGATTATTTACCTTTTTTGGCTACGTCGCTTAGTTTTCGAGATATCAGCCCTCAATTATGGCTAATTTTGAAAAAAAAATTGTTTGTCTAAGTCAATTTTAGCGAAATTTTGTTATAATGTTCTAGGTATATACCTACATTAAATACGAAATTAAAGTTTCTCCAATTCTTTTGTTTTTGGAATAAGCTGTTTATACGTATTTATAAACATGGAGTATTTTTTTCGGCTGGCTCTGCAGACCATGTAGATCTTTGGCCTCCTCCACCTCTGCCTATCTTGGGCTACTGCTTTCTAGTTTGCGGCATGAAGCTCAGCCGAATCTTTGTTTATCCTATTTATCCATTTGGTTTTTCGTCTCCCACGTGGCCTCTTGCTTACTACTCTGGCATTCATTGTCGTGTAAAGGCGTCCTGATGGATTGCTACTAGCTATATGCCCTGCCCATCTTAAACTCCTTGCCTTCATGTCATGAGATATTGACTGACCCGTTCCTTTCAGTAGTTCTTTAGTGTTCCTTCTCCTCCATGTGTCAAGGTTCTGGTCCCATATAGGTAATGTTATCCTACGTAGAACTTTTCTTTCGAATCTCTCAATTCTGGCTTCTAGTGTGCAAACATGGAATATATATATATATATATATATATGTATATATTCCATAAATAAGAAAGTGAAAGTAATACCATAGACGAGATTATTCACTGATTTTGTGAATTCATTGTTGATTACTCAGTGATCAACAATTTTATCTTAGATCGTCAGTTTTTGTTATGTACGTAAACATTACGAGTCGAATATTTTTTAGTCATTCGTACAGATTTTTAAATTTTCAACTGTATTCCTTTTGTTAAATGTTGATATGACAAATTTTATTTCTTATTTTATATCTTTTATACAATTGAATACCTTATTATAATTTTAAATCTTATTCCACAATTTCATTGTAGAGAAGAACAAGGAATTTTTTTAATCAAGAAGTGTTATACATAACGTAAGAAGCTAGGAAAATGGGGCAAACACGGGTGACCATTTAATAAAGCGTGTTTGGGGTATAAAAATTAAAGCGCTTAAAATTCATACAGACTGTTAAACATGATTGGTGAATATATCATCTAAGTTCATTATTTGTCGAAATTGAAAAAAAAAAAAAATGTTTTGCGAATGAATATTCCCACTCATGGAAATATCTTATTTATAATATAATTATTTATATCTAACTATTAATATTAATTTCATTTATTAAACTTGAGATGAAGAAGTTACAAAGAGATTTACCTTCTCTCTATCGTTCATGACTTCTATTTGATCGTGGTAGTACCAAGCCCCGTAACATCCTCCAACCACAAAAATCACTAAGGAAATGACAGCTGATACCAAAAGAAACTTCCTACAAAAAAAAAATCTCATGTTTATTAACACAGAATGATCCATAAAGATGTTGATATTTTAATTAGAGGACAATATCTAATAAAAATGTCATTGATTTACTAATTGTTGGTTTATTTGAACTTTAATTTAAACCGCAAGTTTTTATATCTGTTAGTTATTATACACGAGATATTGTTCCAACAACAGAGTTTCTCTTCAAAATAACTTCTATTTTTTCAAACAAAATTTATAATTGTGGGTAAATGAACTGTCGTGAATAATGAAGAGACGAATAGTTGGGGTGATCATTAAATGATAATATTTATTTTGACATTTGCCGACGTTTCGACTTGAAGTTCAGGCCATCATCAGGGCTAAGAAAAGAACCAGATAACAAGTTATGAGAAACATAAGTAGAAAGACGGTTGTTATCTGGTCGTTGGCCCCGTGTAGATAGATTCATAATTGTGGGTAAATGGTTGACTGTCGTGAATTATGAAGTTTTTTTCATGAAGTTCTTTTCTTGAGCCCTGATGACGGCCTGAACTTCAGATCGAAACGTCGGCAAATGTCAAAATACATATTATCATTTATTTTTGCCTTCTTATTTGACAGATCACACCAACCATTCTTCTCTTCATAATTCACGACAGTCAACCATTTACCCACAATTATGAATCTATCTACACGGGGCCAACGACCAGATAACAACCGTCTTTCTACTTATGTTTCTCATACCTTGTTATCTGGTTCTTTTCTTAGCCCTGATGATGACCTGAACTTCAGGTCGAAACGTTGACAAATATCAAAATAAATATTATCATTTATTTTTGACTTCTTATTTGACTGATCATCCCAACTATTCTTCTCTTCAAAATTTATAATAGTTATTGATTTTATCTTCTGATTTCAATTCATTCATGTATTCTATGAAAGAAGTAATGCTTTAAAATTGATTTAACATACAATCAATATTAAGAAAAAATCTGTACCACTACAACTCCTGAAGGGGAGGGGATAGTGTTACTGGTTTCTTGGTCAATGATTGTGTAGGGAGATGATTTGACCGATATCACGCTCACCCGCCAAGTTTTCCTCTATAATCAATTAAGGGCACCCACTTTGTAGACGCTGGGTGTGCCCCAGATGTCTTCCGACCACGGGATCGATTCACGGAAGATAAAACAGAATAATTAATTACCTGCCTTCAGCCAGATTCGAACCCGGGACCTTGTGTTTTAGATGTCAATATCCTAACCACTTAGCTACCCAGCTCCTTAATCAATCTCATTAAGGATATACAATTAACATTAAGATTTAATATAATATTCTTAATATGTTTCTTTGTTAACTACACATTTTATTTAGATGAACGTAGACTTGGTACCAGGTATTATTTTACGATGTCTATTCAAAGATTGAAAATTAAAAAAACAAAATAGTTTAAGAGATAGTTAACTCGATGAATAGAAATAATGTTCACATGAAACACTAAAATTATTTTACTAGAAAATTTAATTTAAAAGGATTTACCTGGATTGACTATCGGGTTGGTTGATCTCCATTGCAGTGGCGTAGCCACCACCGAGTCTGCTTGTATCGATGAATTTCAAAATTTCTTTCTGGGGTTGTGATATAAAAATAACGCTGACAGTTGTATTTGAAACTACAAAAAAATATATTATTTTTATAAATTTTTAATAATTATAACCTTCAATATACATCCCTCCTTCATCCTTACGACACTTCATACGAATCATTCATTGTCAGAAACAGTGCTGGAAGTCATCTGTCAGCTTCTTCAGGGGGCGTGGTAACGTTGATTATCATAGTAACGTTTGACCTTCCGGAACCCAGTTAATGTGCACAATACAATATCGAAGAAAAATTATCATTGCTTTGAATTTTGATTTGCTCATTCGAGCTTTTCGTGTCTCGGTGAAGTTGGGTTCCGTTTCAAAATTACGATTAAAAAAAAAACACGATTCATCAACATGCGTTGAAAGGAGCAAGATTTGAATCAGTTGAAGCTGCGAAAGACAACGCTGCACGCGTTCTGATGGAGCTGATAGATAAAGATTTCCTCCGCTGTTTCCGACAATTGTAGCTCAGATTTTTTGACTTATTTTTAGTTTCCATTGCCACTTTAAAGATAGGCAAATACATGGGCGATTCCACAAAAATTGACCTTTTTTGTTGACAAAACAAAGAATTTTTTTCTGGTTTCATTATTTTTTATGAGCAAACTGGAAACTTAAAAGTTCAAACAGGTCTAAAAAACATAGTCCTGCTGCTGAACAATATTTAAAGTTATTATCTTAGCACAACCGCTATAAATTAAGCCGGGAACTGGCTCAAGAAATAGCCGATGCTATAAGGACCCAAATTTTGTCCCTGATCGAAGGGAAATATATATATTTTTTGGACTCAAATGTTATGTAGCCAGGGAAGCACATTTTTTTCGATCTCTGACAAGCGAAATTTATTTAAGTATGACAAACTAGAAAAATCTGATTCCCATGACTCGCCGCTTAAATATATGGGCAAAATATACAATTCAATTTGATTTTTAACATAAATCACTTTAACATCATCAACAGACCCCTTACTGTCCAGCACTTTATTTTAATTTTTGCATCATTTTTTTTGTTTTATTTTATAAAATACCTAAAGCAACAAATAAATTAATATTTATTTAATAAATAAGAATATTCATTCATTAATAAGGTTGTGCGAAAATATTTCCATTCACTTCTGTAAATTTAACCGTATTCATTTTAATAAACGTGAATACAGCCGTATTCACTTGTACAACTGTAGATACAGCCGTATTTATATTTACAGTTGTGAATACGTATCATCTGTATTCATGTTTCTTTTGATAACTATAAATGTATTCATATTTATATTCAAAGATGCCATAAATATAAATGGTATTCGTATTTATATTTTTGAATATAAATATGCCCATCTCTGGCAAAAAGGACCACGACAGAGCCCACTTGCCAGACTAGTTCTCCCCACCATTTGCAGTATTAGTACCAGTAGGTATTATCATTATCATATTATACCAAATAACATCTTCTGTAGTACCATTGATATAATGTAATACAACTAGGATGTTTAGTATTTTTCAATTCGTACCGTGTTTCCAAACCCAGAAAATCGAAGGATTTAACAATTTATCGGAGGACAGAAAACGATTAAGTCCAGAAGAATTATATATGCTCAATACTTCTCTTGCAGTAATAATGTAAAAGTATTATTACGGGACTCAGACAAGGAAACGGTCTCTCCCCAACACTTTTCAACGTGGTACTAGATAGGATAATGAAGGAATTATGGAAAACCAATGATGTGGGTGCAAGTATAGGGACCAAAAACAACCACGTCAAGGTAAGGTGTCTTGCCTACGCAGACGATCTTGCACTTTTAGCGGAAACGGAAGAAGAGGCAATCGACCAAATAAATACACTGGCGGAAATAGCCAAAAAAGCGGGTCTCCAAATCTCCTACGAAAAAACAAAACTAATGACCACAGACGCAGACTTCAAGAAAAAAAGAGTGGAAACCAAATACGGGTCAATAAATGTAACAAATAAATTTAAATACCTGGGTGAGACTATATGTAATAATGGTTCCGAAAAAGAAAGTATCAAGGAAAGAATAGCCAAATTAGAAAAACTAAGTTTTGCAACCAGTAACATATACAACAAGAGAAACCTGTCCAAGGAAGCGAAAATACGACACTACAATAATAATAATAATAATAATAATAATAAGGCTTAGCGAATCCGAAGGTTCGATGCCGACACCACCAATCGCTTGTTACACACCTCCCTCCACCGTTCGCCGTCCAAACCCAGTCCCTTCAGATCGGCTTTAATGCAATCTTCCCACCTTCGCTTCGGTCTACCCCTCGGACGCTTACCATTCGGCACAGCAAATATTAACCTTTTAGGAATTCTCTCGTTACTAAGCCCAACAACTTTACAAGCCCATTTGATTCGCCGCGATGAAATTACCTCAATTATATTACCCGGATACAGCTCACGCAATTCGGCGTTGTGTAACCGTCTGAACTCTCCGGTTAACTCATCCTTCTTCGGTCCGAATATTCTACGCAATACTTTATTTTCAAAAACCTTAAGACGCTGCTCATCCCTTAATGTAAGCGGCCAAGTTTCGCATCCATAAAGAACTGTAGGCAAGATAATTGTTTTATAGATTCTAATTTTTAAGTTTCGGGACAAGAGGCGCGAACTAAGTAGTTTTGTCACAGAAAAATAACAAGCATTCCCCGCCTTCAGTCTAACCTTAATCTCTTCTTCAATTTCGTTTTTTCTAGTTATCGTAGAACCTAGATACCTAAATTTATCTACCTGTTCAAACATATTACCATCTATATCGATATCACCAGTAGTATCGCCATTTTTGCAGCTAACCATATATTTTGTTTTATCCACGTTTATTTCGAGTCCTAGTTCTTTACCGGCTTTCATTAACGTTGTCGTATTTAGTTTTATAGTTTCAACGTCTTCGCTTAACAGTACCAGATCATCAGCATAGCCCAGCACGGATGTTGTCCCGCCCAGATCCAACCCTTTCTCGGTTCGCATTACCTCCCTAATGGCATGTTCTAATGCCAAATTGAACAGGACAGGCGAAAGAGAATCCCCCTGTTTTAAGCCCGAACGAACCTCAAATTTTTCGGACAAATTATTACCGATTCTAACTTTATTGAGTGTCTCCGTCAAGCACATCCTGACTAGATTTACTAGTTTTTTTGGAATCCCCTGCTCGATTAGAATATTGTACAGTTTCTGGCGGTCAATAGAATCGTAAGCCTTTTTAAAATCTATATACAGCTGGTGAACAATACCGTTATACTCCAATTTTTTCTCTAATATTTGCCGTAAAGAAAATATTTGATCAATAGTCGAACGATTCTGTCTAAATCCGCATTGGTAGTCTCCGATAATTTCCTCGGCGTATTCCGTGATTCGACTGGTTAAGATTAAAGTGAATATTTTATAACATACCGGAAGGAGTGAAATTCCTCGATAGTTATTACAATCCGTCCTCGGACCCTTTTTGTGAATCGGAATAAGAATAGATTCTTTCCATTCTTCAGGTAATTTCTCGTTCACCCAGATCTTTTTAACCAACCGATGTATTTTAGAAACTCCAGCTTCCCCGCATGCCTTAATTAGTTCAGTAGGAATATTATCGATTCCCGCTGCTTTATATGATTTTAATTTTCCGATAGCTACTTCAACTTCCTCTTTACTTGGTCCTTCTATTAACGGTTCAGCACTCTGGTACTCAGAAGGAGGACACAGATCATAATTTCCCGTATTTAAAATATTGTCAAAGTGGTCCTTAAACTTATTCAATATGTCAACCGGATCGGTCAGAATATTGTTATTATCATCCCTAATTCCAGACGTTACGGGCCCTACATATTTACGTGATCTGTTTATACCTTTGTACATGTCTCTTACGTTATTTTCGATTCTATTAGTTTCTATTTCAATTATTTTATTTTTAAGATACTCCCTTTTTTTATTTTTGAGCAATTTTGTCGTTTCGTTCTTTGAGATTCGGAAGTATTCCAGATTGTCTTCGCTAGGATTATTTAGAGCTTTTAATTTAGCGGCTTTTCTTTTTTCACACATGTTTAAGCAATCTTCATCAAACCACGGTTTGTTATTCTTATTTTCCTTTTTTCCTAGACACTACAATACAGTTGTTAAACCTGTGATACTATACGGGACGGAAACCACATTCCTCCCCAGTCTGGAAAAATTGTTGAGAATAGAGCGAAGAATTCTAAGAAGGATTTACGGCCCCAAAAAGACAAAAGAAGGATACAGGCTAAGATCCAATCAGGAAATATACAAGGACAAAAGAGATCTAGAAACGGAAATAAGGATCAGGAGACTGAAATTCCACGGACATATGGTAAGAATGGCCACAGAAAGACTTAACAAGGAAATATTCCAAAAAATCGTAGAACAAAGCTTGGGGATACAGCATGAGAAGAAACGGAAGACTTGAATAACGGACCGGGACTGTCTGGACAGAGAGGGGTATGGTAAGAGACTAAAGGAGATCACGGTTCTTGCTAAGAAGAAAAGTTCGAGAAAGGGAGTCGCGTGGACGGAGAGAGAAAGCGGCGGCACTCGGAGATAATGAGAGAGAAGTGGAAAGAAAGGTAAAACAAGAAAGAAGCCAAATGTCATGATATTCGCATGGTCTCTATGGCCGTTCCGTGAAAAAAAAAAAAAAAAAAATGAAAAGTATAATTAAGTAATTACTTGCCACTTACTAGATAACCCATATTTCAATTAACTCACCTTCCAACCCACCTATTATACAATATCAGGAACACTCATACATACATGATATTTGACGATTATTTTTACTGCATACTGGTGAATATTTATACTGGTGTAATAGAATTCAATATTAATTTCGATATATTTTATAGAGACTATTGTTTGTCTGAGTGACACAGCGATAACTTTTCACTCTAATATGAACAAGCCTCTATACAAAAGCAAATTGAAATATAATATTTATTTATATTATCTATGAATGGTCAGTTGTGATCATTGAGTTCACTGGCGTCCCCTTTATTGATGTTTGGAAAAATAAAGTGTA